AGAAGCAACTGGAAATGAGAAGAAATCTCTCCAAAGTGAATGGAATTCCCTGTATGAGAATTGTCACAGGATCAGGGGTTTCCAATTAATATTTTTTTTTTTTTAGATTTTCCCTTAGGCTGAATTCGGACATAGGGTTTCATTATTAATATACAGGATTTATATAGCACCAACAGTTTGCGCAGCGCTTTACAATATAAAGGAGACAGTACAATTACAATACATTTCAGTACAGAAGGAATGTGAGGGCCCGACTCGTGGAGCTTACAATCTAAAAGGAAGGGGGAGATGATACAAAAGGTGATAGCTGCGGGGGATGATCTGGTGGAGGGGATTCAAGTTCTTAGGTGGAGGTGGGGTAGGCTTCCCTGAAGAGGTGTGTTTTCAAAGATCGCCTAAAGGCAGACAGGGTGGGGGCTGACCAGACTTGCTGTGGTAGGGAGTTCCAGAGGATGGGAGAGGCTCTGGAGAAGTCCTGGAGGCGAGCGTGGGAGGAGGTGATGAGGGAGCTAGATATCATGGGAGGAGCGGAGTGGGCGATTTGGGCAGTATCTGTGGATGAGGTTGGTGATGTAGCTAGGGGCAGTGTTGTGGATGGCTTTGTAAGCTGTGGTTAGTATTTTGAATTTTATACGTTGGGTTAGTGGAAGCCAGTGAAGGGATTGGCAGAGAGGGGCAGCAGTCGCTGATCGGTAAGGTGATTGAGTCTAGCAGCAGCATTCATAATAGACTGAAGGGGGGATAGCCTGTGTAACTGTAGACCAGTGAGGAGGGAGTTGCAGTAATTGAGGCGGGATGAATAGAGGTTTGTGCATGTTTTGCATTTTTCCATGACACACATTATTGCTTATTCATTTAAATGGGCTGAACCATTTATTTAAATGAGCTGGTCAATGCACCAAAGTAGCTCATGTGGAATTTTTAGAAGTCTAGTTTCTCGTGTTTTACTGCACATCAGAACAGGCATCTTGGACATTTGGAGTGCCATTAACAATGAATGCACCGCAACACGAGTTTGTGTGTTTTGTCACATTATTTACACACGAGTTATATCTGTGGAGCACGGATTTACTTATTTTTATCATTGGGACATTGTGTGGATATATGTGTGTGTGGATAGATAGATAGATAGATAGATAGATAGATAATAGATGGATAGATGGATAGATAGAATTGTTTCACTGAGTGTCTAATACACATGCATGAATTATGTTCACTTAATATGGCCCTAGTGCTGGGGTTAATATTTATATCTGTGAGCACCAATTATTGATACACTTGTTTTCACTAAGTATTTATATTTATGAATTAGTTTAATTTAATATTGATTTAGTATTTATTTAGCGCTGCACTATTATCTATTGTTTATTTACACTTATGGTTGAAGGGGGGTGCTAGCAGCTTAGTGGTAGGGTTTTTCCATTCAAGCGCAGGAGATTGCATGTATTTATTTTTTCTATCAGGTCTGTGTATTGTGTTCTCGGATTCGCAGAGAAATATGCATTGATGAACCCTGAATGCCACGTGTGCAATTTACAGAAAATACAAGAGTGTGCCAAGGTAATCGGTCCGAGGCAGAGGCCTTCATTGCCTGCACACCATTCACACCCTTTTTGAAAGCCAGGCATCCCTGTTACCTTGGAAAGCCACCTAAAAAATAATGTTGCTGTGCCATCAATGACAGCTGGGTTGCATAGCTGCATTGGTTGCTATGCTGCAGGTGGCTGCAAATGGCAACCAATAAGGGTTGTGTAGCTTAGCTGCCAGCATCCTAGCAACCAGCTCGGTCACACTGCATTGTGTATGCATCCTAGCAACCAGCTCGGTCACGCTGCCCTGTGTATGCATCCTAGCAACCAGCTCGGTCACGCTGCCCTGTGTATGCATCCTAGCAACCAGCTCGGTCACGCTGCCCTGTGTATGCATCCTAGCAACCAGCTCGGTCACGCTGCCCTGTGTATGCATCCTAGCAACCAGCTCGGTCACGCTGCCCTGTGTATGCATCCTAGCAACCAGCTCGGTCACGCTGCCCTGTGTATGCATCCTAGCAACCAGCTCGGTCACGCTGCCCTGTCTATGCATCCTAGCAACCAGCTCGGTCACGCTGCCCTGTCTATGCATCCTAGCAACCAGCTCGGTCACGCTGCCCTGTCTATGCATCCTAGCAACCAGCTCGGTCACGCTGCCCTGTCTATGCATCCTAGCAACCAGCTCGGTCACGCTGCCCTGTCTATGCATCCTAGCAACCAGCTCGGTCACGCTGCCCTGTCTATGCATCCTAGCAACCAGCTCGGTCACGCTGCCCTGTCTATGCATCCTAGCAACCAGCTCGGTCACGCTGCCCTGTCTATGCATCCTAGCAGCAACCAGCTCGGTCACGCTGCCCTGTCTATGCATCCTAGCAACCAGCTCGGTCACGCTGCCCTGTCTATGCATCCTAGCAACCAGCTCGGTCACTCTGCCCTGTGTATTCTAGCTACCAAGCTCTGCATGTTTTTGCAGTGACACCTTGGCCTTAGTGCCGCCTAAGGTGGTCACCCTAGCATGGTATACTATACAAATCTATTTGCTCATCCCCACTGGCAGGCACAGGAAAGCAGAAGACACTGTTGCAACTAGCAGTCACCACAGAGATGACAGTTACTGTTAGCAGGCCATGTGATTGTTATCTGCTGAGAGAACACCAGTGCCTGAACCACATCAGGGCTGCCATGCCAAGCTGTCCAGAAAGCTTAAAGAGATCCTGCCACCAGCCTATTCATTTCAACAATCTTCCTATAGTATTCTATGTACATTTCATGTATTTTATTATGTTGTGATTTCTCTGTAATCCCACCTAAAAACCCCTAGACTGCTGTGTGGTGCCATCATCTTAGATGTGATGTCAGCAGACTCACAGCTGTCACTCAAGTGATATTGTACTGTATCATCTCCTCCTCCATCAGCTACAAAAAGGGTTAGTCAGGGAGGGGAGGAGAGAGGTGGAGGAGCTGGGCCAGCACAGACAGTAATTAGGCTGACTGCAAGGTAGCAAGAGATGCGCCCCCACTGACTGCAAGAGACGGGCCCCCTACTGACTGCAAGACAGCAAGAGACCCCCCCCACTGACTGCAAGACACACGGCCCCCCACTGACAGCAAGAGACGTGGCCCCCCACTGACAGCAAGACAGCAAGAGACGCGGCCCCCCACTGACAGCAAGACAGCAAGAGACGCGGCCCCCCACTGACAGCAAGACAGCAAGAGACGCGGCCCCCCACTGACAGCAAGACAGCAAGAGACGCGGCCCCCCACTGACTGCAAGAGATGCGCCCCCCTCACTGACTGCAAGACAGCAAGAGACGAGCCCCCCCACTGACTGCAAGAGACGCGGCCCCCCACTGACTCCAAGACAGCAAGAGATGAGCCCCCCCACTGACTGCAAGACAGTGAGAGACGCCCCCCCCCAAAAGCATGTGTGGCCTCCATAAGATACTCTACTTTTCTGTGTATTTTTTGCTGGCCGGGTCTCTCCACCAATCGAATATCATGGACCCCAGTGCTACGCAGACAATATTAGGGAAGTGTTACCAGGACAGCTGACTCCAGTCTATAAAATCACTCATACTGGTTGATTTTCAGGGAATTTCAGAATTGCAAAAGCGACTGAACAGGTCAAAGTATCTTCCTGCCAATCCTTCCAGACATTGTGCTGTTTGATTGACCATACAATCTGATTGTACAATCTCCTTCACATCTACAATCAACTACAGTGAAGGAAATGCGTACTTGATCCCCTGCTGATCTTGAATGTTTGCCCACTCACAAAGAAATGATCGGTCTAAAAATCGAATGTTCGGTGTATTGTAACAGACAGAATAGCAACAAAAGATTCAAAAGAAATGCATGTCTAACAAATGATGACTGATTTGCATGTTGATGAGGGAAATAAGGATTTGATCCCCTATCATTCAGCAGGATTTCTGGCTCCCAGGTGTCTTTCATACAGGTAACAAGCTGAGATTAGAAGCAGTCGCTTAAAGGGAGTGCTGCTAATCTCATTTTGTTACCTGTATAAAAGACACCTGTCCACAGGAGCAATCAAACCATCAGATTCCAAACTCTCCACCATGGAAAAGACCAAAGAGCTGTCCAAGGATGTCAGGGACAAGATTGTAGACCTACACAAGCCTGGACTGGGCTACCAAACTATGGCCAAGCAGCTTGGTGAGAAGGTGACAACAGTTGGTGCAATCATTCGCAAATGGAAGAAACACAAAACAAGTGTCAGTCTCCCTAGGTCTGGTGCACCATGCAAGATCTCACCTCGTGGAGTGTCAATGATCATGAGAACAGTGAGGAATCATCCCAGAACTACATGTGAGGATCTTGTCAATGATCTCCAGGCAGCTGGGACCACAGTCACCAAGAAAACAATTGGTAACACTACGCCGACAAGGACTGAAATCCTGCAGTGCCCGCAAGGTCCCTCTGCTCAAGAAAGCACATGTCCAGGCCCGTCTGAAGTCTGCCACTGAACATCTGAATGATGCAGAGGAGGACTGGTTGGAAGTGTTGTGGTCAGATGAGACCAAAATCGAGCTCTTTGAAATCAACTCAACTCACCGTGTTTGGAGGAGGAGATATGCTACCTATGACCCCAAGAACACCATCCCAACTGTGAAACATGGTGGTGGAAATACTCTGCTTTGGGGGTATTTTTCTACTAAGGGGACAGGGCAACTGCAACACATCAAAGGGACGATGGACAGGGCAATGTACCGTCAAATCTTGGGTGAGAACCTTCTTCCCTCAGCCAGGGCATTGAAGATGGGTCATGGATGGGTGTTCCAGCATGACAATGACCCAAAACACACGGCCAAGGCAACAAAGGAGTGGCTCAAGAAGAAGCACATTAAGGTCCTGGAGTGGCCTAGCCAGTCTCCAGACCTTCATCCGACTGAAAATCTGTGGAGGGAGCTCAAAGTTCGAGTTGCTAATGTCAGCCACCAAACCTTAACTCCCCGGCGGTATTCCCGAGTGTAGCTCGGGGTAAAGTTTCAGTACCACAAGCGGTAACCCCGAGCTACACTCGGGAATACACTGCAGCGTTGCTCCGGGATCTGTTCTTCTCTTACCTTGTCCTGCGCTCCCGCGATGTCCCCCCTGCATTGTCCACTGTAATCTCCTCCGGCCGATGCCGGCATCTGTCTTCCGGGTTCCGTTCTCTGCGACGTCAGGATGTACGGGGGACGAAACGCCGGGAAATTTGAAAATGACAAAAAGTGACATTCACTAAAATCACATAGTATAACATTGCTGTATCAAACCATTTCACATACATTTTGTCCCGAGTGCTTTGTCCGGCGCCCTGCCTGCATTTTTACTGTTCTTATAGCCTGGAAACTGAGAAACGTCCATGGCGTCCAAAAAGCGTCCCTTTAGGTCAAAAGCGGTTTTAGACCGGCTAGAGAACAGCGATAGTAAATCAGAACCACTTGCAGAATTGAGTGATAATGATTCGTGGGGGAAATTCCTCATCAGACACTGAAAACGATTCTGCAACTTTGCTCAGTGATGTGCGAACTTGGCGCTAAATTTCAGTGTTTTTGGTTTGATTATTATTGAATTAAATGTATTATTATTATATTATTTATTATATCATTTATGATTTCGTTTTTTAAAATTTAAATATTTCCGGGATGTTTACTAGACTCTTGTTCGGGCAGATTTCAGTGAGTTATTCTTAAGAATTACAGACTAACAATAAAAAAAAAAAAAAAAAAAATACATATTTCCATGCAAAAAAAATGTACCGCTTTGAGCACAGAAATATGGACCTCAGACCGCTCGGGAGGTTAATGACCTAGAGAGGAATGGGCCAAAATCCCTCCTGAGATGTGCAAACCTGGTGGCCAACTGCAGGAAATGTCTGCCCTCTGATTGCCAACAAGGGATTTGCCACCAAGTACTAAGTCATGTTTTGTGAAGGGGATCAAATACTTATTTCCCTCATGAACATGCAAATCAGTCATTTGTTAGACATGCATTTCTTTTGAATTGTTTGTTGCTATTCTGTCTCAGTGTTACAATACACCGAACATTCGATTTTTCGGCTGATCATCTCTTTGTGAGTGGGCAAACATTCAAAATCAGCAGGGGAGCAAATACTTATTTCCTTCACTGTATGTAGTTCAAGGGCCGGTCTGATTGGTTACCATTTGAACTGCTTAGGATTTGTCCTCCTATTACATAGTTTTGATAATCTAATGGCGGCCATACATATGGAAAAATTACCCATTTCTTTTCCAAGCGATCTTTCCCAATAGGAACAGCTGATCGATAATCTAATTGATCGATATGTGTGTGTGGGGGGGGGAGTGAAATTCGATCAAAAGTTGGAAGATTTGATTGTACGTATCAATCATATCTCTGTTCCATAATCTGATGGATTGTAATACATTCAAATTCATGGCCAAATCATCTCGGTGCTGCCAACCGATGCAAACGTAAATTTTCAGCCCAGGCAGATCGACGCGGTTTGGTCAAATAAGGTCTATACAGAGTCGAAATTGATCAAAAGAGAAACTAGAGCCATTTGATTGGTTTCTGATTTGATTGGATTATGTAGTGATAAAATTGAAGCATGTATGGCCACTATGAGCTCTCCTTTATAAGTACAGAAGCCTTGGCCACCCCTCTGACAAGCGATTCAGCAGCAGTTCTGAATAAAATATGCTGTGTAAGTTTTGCTGCCGTGTGTAAGTGACATGTGCCCTACTTTAGGTGGGGGGTAAAAATACTGCTCAACCCAACAAACATTTTTTTTTGTGGGTGAGTATAGAGAGAATACGGTGTGGAGGAGGGCATACTGGGAGCTGTAGTCATCCCCCACCCCCCTCAGTATCGAGGAGGGTATGCTGGGGGCTGTAGACCTCCCCCATCGCAGTATCGAGGAGGGTCCGCTGGGGGCTGTAGTTCCCCCCCCCCCACAGTATCGAGGAGAGTCCGCTGGGGGCTGTAGTCCCCCCCCCACAGTATCCAGGAGAGTCCGCTGGCGGCTGTAGTCCCCCCCCCCCCCACACTATTCAGGAGAGTCCGCTGGGGGCTGTAGTCCCCCCCCCCCACACTATTCAGGAGAGTCCGCTGGGGGCTGTAGTCCCCCCCCCCCCCCCCACACTATCGAGAAGAGTCCGCTGGGGGCTGTAGTCCCCCCACAGTATCCAGGAGAGTCCGCTGGGGGCTGTAGTCCCCCCCCCCCACAGTATCCAGGAGAGTCCGCTGGGGGCTGTAGTCCCCCCCCCATACTATTCAGGAGAGTCCGCTGGGGGCTGTAGTCCCCCCCCCCCACACTATTCAGGAGAGTCCGCTGGGGGCTGTAGTCCCCCCCCCCACACTATTCAGGAGAGTCCGCTGGGGGCTGTAGTCCCCCCCCCCCCCCCCACACTATCGAGAAGAGTCCGCTGGGGGCTGTAGTCCCCCCACAGTATCCAGGAGAGTCCGCTGGGGGCTGTAGTCCCCCCACAGTATCGAGGAGAGTCCGCTGGGGGTTGTAGTCCCTTGTGTTACTTTTACCACTCTCTCCCCCCCCCCCCCCCACACTGGTGTGAACAAGCCCCAAAGCTGGCCACATTATACAATCTGATTGTACAATCTCTTTTATAGACCCAAACAATACTTTCAATTTGTAGCCAATCAGGCAGGCCCTTGCAATACGTGGCAGATGGGAGATTTAATAGGGATTGCATAGTATATGATCTCATACACACCACAATCTTTAAGCTCACTGTGTTTCTGCGTGTGCGTGGCATTTTTTGGGAAATTTTTCAATTTTGCTTCAAATTTTTTACTAAGCTGCATTACACACAACCATACACATTGATGTGCATCTGCAACGCTTTCTGGAATGGAAAATACGCATGCTTTTTTTTTTTTTTTTTTAATGCACATGAAAGTACTGCAATGGTGTAAACTGGACTCAATGAAATACATTCATTTTTTTCTGCATGTGTGTTCATACTGCATTTTTGCCGTATTTAAAAAAGGTGTAACTCATCGCATCTGGTGTAAAGGAGCCCCAAAAAGAGTTTCCACAATCAGATCGCACGGCGTATTGTCGGCTTAGACGAGATTGCACAATCAGATCGCACGGCGTATGTTCGGCTTAGAAGAGTTTGCACAATCAGATCGCACAGCGTATGTTCGGCTTAGAAGAGTTTGCACAATCAGATCGCACGGCGTATGGTCGGCTTAGAAGAGTTTATACAATCAGATTGCACAGCGTATTGTCGGCTTAGAAGAGTTTGCACAATCAGATCGCACGGCGTATGTTCGGCTTAGAGTTTGCACAATCAGATCGCACGGCGTATGTTCGGCTTAGAGTTTGCACAATCAGATCGCACGGCGTATGTTCGGCTTAGAAGAGTTTGTACAATCAGATCGCACGGCGTATGTTCGGCTTAGAGTTTGCACAATCAGATCGCACGGCGTATATGTTCGGCTTAGAGTTTGCACAATCAGATCGCACGGCGTATGTTCGGCTTAGAAGAGTTTATACAATCAGATTGCACGGCGTATTGTCGGTTTAGAAGAGTTTGTACAATCAGATCGCACAGTGTATGGTCCCTTAAAGGAGATCATACGATCAGATCGCAGTGTGTATGGCAGGCTATACACCTTTTGCAGTGTAAAGCTGGTCGCAGGTGCCATTGGAATTCACCTGTTGGCTGATCCCAGCATACCCGAGCCCTGCAGACCATCCCCGTCACCCCCACAGCACCTTGAAGATCTGGTTGCAGAAGACATCGGGGACCTGAGGTACGCCGTTCACCGATCCCCGCACTGATCCCCGCAGCGCTCCATCGTCAGCCCCGGACATGGTGAACGGACGGTCCGATCCAGGAACTGGGCGTGAGAGCTGCCCGAGCCGGAGAGGCGTGGCTTCAAGTCTTCTAGCGTGGCGGGACCCGCCCATGCACGCCTTATTTGGTAGACGACCCAGACCCCGCCCAACTACATAAACTGGCTGAGGCGGCCCCGCCCAGCTGTCATGGTCTGTTCCGCACACAGGTGATCGGGATTGCAGTCAGTTGTATGGAGATCACCTTCTACCTGCCGAGCAGCGTGTATGGGGGATCCGTACAATGTGTAATGGGTAGACAAGGCTTCACTCACACGTGGGCCACTTCTAAATCCTGCGATTTTCATTTGACGGGACTTTGGATTTTTCGGACACAAGTCGCATGCACATCATCCAGGTGCGACTTTGGAGGTTTACATTGAAGTCTATAGTCCTCAAGTCGCATAAAAGTAAAGCAGGAACAGGGGCAGACTGACAACTCATGGGGCCCCTGGGCCAGGGGTGGACTGACAACTCATGGGCCCCTGGGCCAGGGGTGGACTGACAACTCATGGGGCCCCCAGGCAATAGGGGATCATGGGGCCCCTGTGTCCTTGCCCAAACTCAAAAAAGCCTATGAAAAAGGTACCAGGGGCATCTCATGGGGCCCCCTACTGACCCCGGGCCCTCAGGCTGTGCTTGAGTTTCCAAATGGTCAGTCCGCCCCTGCACTGGGCAATAGGGGATCATGGGGCCCCTGTGTCCTTGCCCAAAGTCAAGAAAAGTCTATTAAAAAGGTACTAGGGTCATCTCATGGGGCCCCCTACTGACCCCGGGCCCTCGGGCAGTGCCCAAGTTTCCAAATGGTCAGTCCGCCCCTGCCCTGGGCAATAGGGGATCATGGGAACCCTGTGTCCTTGCCCAAACTAAAAAAAGCCTATGAAAAAGGTACCAGGGGCATCTCATGGGGCCCCTTACTGACCCCGGGCCCTCAGGCAGTCCGCCCCTGAGCAGGAACTACTTTGAACTCACACAGACAGGGCTGCTGTTAGAAACAACGAGGCCCCATACAGCCAACCTGACAGAGGCCCCCCCCCCCCAAAAAAAAAAACCCAGTTTACTAAGCTTCAGCAAGGATTGAATACAGTGAGTGAGTGCTACTGATCACTCATTGTGTTCATTTAGGAAAAGAAGGGGCTGGTAAATGTGACACTGCCACATATGGCACTCTCCATCCTGAAGGATCCTATTGTGTGCTTGCAGCTGTTGGTGGGAAGGAGAGGAGGGAAGCTGGAAGCACTGCAGCGGTGGGGGGGCTGGGCAGGATGGGAAACATATGATGGACAGGGAGGGAGATGGGTGTGGTGGGGGGCAATTACTGGAACTGATCCCCTGTATGGCTCTCTCTGCAGGAGCTGAAAGCCAGCAAGAGGGAGAGGAAAGGAAGACAGCTTTCAGCTGCTGCTGAGAGACATACAGGGGATTGGTACCAATAATTGCCCCCCCCCCTGCTGTTCCGATCACCCTCCCTGCCCACATGTGATTCACCCAGCTGCCTGGGCCCCCCTGCTAGCCTGGGCCCCATACAGGAGGACTGGTGGTACCCAGGGGCGTATTTACCACAAGGCAAACAAGGCACTTGCCTAGGGTGGCATTTTTCAGGGGGGCAGCTCCTCCACCCAGAAGAAGAGATGGAAGAAGGGACATGCATGCCATGGGAACCAGGTGGCATCTGAGAGAGGCTGCAGGCTGCTTGATGGTGTATTTAGAGCCTGACTCTCATTCTTGTGGATGTCCGGAGCTGTGAAGATGGGTGTCTCTCTATCACGGGGGGATGAGACACCCATCTTCACAGCTCCGGACATAGTAGTGGACGGCTCTCACAGGTGGGGGGGAAGGGTTGTTGTTGGTCAATGTCAGGCTCTCTCCGCGGAAGGGGGGATGGTGTTGGTCGGTGTCCGTGGAGGCAGACGATTTTTGTGTTGCCTAGGGCAGCACAAAACCTAAATACACTACTGGTGGTACCCCCTTATCAGGGGCGGACTGACCATTTGGAAACTCAGGCACTGCCCGAGGGCCCGGGGTCAGTAGGGGGCCCCATGAGATGCACCTGGTACCTTTTTCGTAGGCTTTTTTGAGTTTGGGCAAGGACACAGGGGCCCCATGATCCCCTATTGCCTGGGGGCCCCATGAGTTGTCAGTCCGCCCCTGCCCCTTATCAATGACCCTGCACACAGATATGAATGGTACCCATTGGGAGGTGACTTGTCATATGACTTTGGACCCCAAAGTCACATGACAAGTTGCATAAGTGTGAATGGGCTCTTAGGGTCAGCTCACACCACAAAAACGCACTCCGGATGCATTCTGGATACGTTTTTGCTTACAGTTCACACTACAAACAGTTCCGGTGCAGTTTTGATGCAGTTTGCTATGTTCCAGTACAGTTCTGTGCAGAAAAAATGCAGCATGTTCTATTTTATTTTCTGCACCGGAAACTGACTGGAACTGACTGCACTAGTGTGAACTAGGGCCATTGGAATACATGGAAAACACTGTGCATGCATTTTTGATGCAGAAAAAAAGTGCACTGAACTGCATCTAGTGGGAACTAGCCCTTAGGCTGCTTTCACGCTGATCCGTTTTAATTCCACTTCTGCGTTAAAAGGAGAAAAAAACATCTGACCATGTAATCCTATGGAAATCTTCACACTGATCCATTGCAGGTCCGCCGAGTTTTAAAATTCAGCTTGCCGCATTTTTGGTGCAGTAAAAAAAAAAACACACCTCCCCATTGAAATGAATGGAAAAGCGGCAAAAACCTATCAAAAAATGCACCCACAATGCACTTTTGGTGCGATTTTTGAATCACGTCCTTTTAAAGAAAGCATCACAAATGCGGTAAAAACGTATGCCTGTTCGCTACGTTTTTACTACCGATAAGTGTGTAAGCAGCCTTAAGCTGGCCATACACGTGTAGATTTTTAGACAAGAATGTTCATAAGAAAAATCGTAGGAAAAGTTTTTGAGCGTTCGATGAATGGAAGAATGTCGTTCGAAAATTGTCTTTTGCTTTTAACATTCGACTTTAAAATGAATGTAAATTCTAAATGATAACCACATACACTGGCCAAAAATATGTCTGATCAAGAAAAGATTTCCTTCCAGCCCCTTCAAATTTTCCCATCACTGCTGTCGAAAATGAACATCGATTTGACTCCACTAACATTTAGAAAATCAAACGAATATTCTTGAAATGAAAATTCTTGAACATAAATCTTTATGTGTATGGCCAGCTTTAGAGGAGGCAGCTGATCACAATACAATTGTTTCATCTCAGATCAACTGACCCTGTAAGGCGAGGGCATGCAAGATTGGATCGTCCAAATGATTGTAAAACTGAGCATCAGGGGGCCGCCAGCAGACACTAATCTGTGTTTCACTATTGCCCTGTTATAGCAAAGGGTTTCCAGCAGTCTCATTATATACATCTCCGGTCTATGACTATCTCCTGAATCATGTCCCCAGTCTTCCAACAACTTGTATAAAGTTCTCAGTCTCTGAAACTTAGCCGCAGCACATCCGCAGTCTCTGACCATCTCCCGCATCATGTCCACAGTCTCTGACCATCTCCTATATTATGTCCGCAGTCTCTGACCATCTCCTATATTATGTCCACAGTCTCTGACCATCTCCTATATTATGTCCGCAGTCTCTGATCATCTCCTATATTATGTCCACAGTCTCTGACCATCTCCCGCATATTCATGTCCACAGTCTCTGACCATCTCCTGTATTATGTCCACAGTCTCTGACCATCTCCTATATTATGTCCACAGTCTCTGACCATCTCCTATATTATGTCCACAGTCTCTGACCATCTCCTATATTATGTCCACAGTCTCTGACCATCTCCTATATTATGTCCACAGTCTCTGACCATCTCCCGCATCATGTCCACAGTCTCTGACCTTCTCCTATATTATGCCACAGTCTCTGACCATCTCCTATATTATGTCCACAATCTCTGATCATCTCCTATATTATGTCCACAGTCTCTGACCATCTCCTATATTATGTCCACAGTCTCTGACCATCTCCCGCATCATGTCCACAGTCTCTGACCATCTCCTATATTATGTCCACAGTCTCTGACCATCTCCTATATTATGTCCACAGTCTCTGATCATCTCCTATATTATGTCCACAGTCTCTAATCATCTCCTATATTATGTCCACAGTCTCTGGCCATCTCTTGTATCATGTCCACAGTCTCTGACCATCTCTTGTATCATATCCCACAGTCTCTGACCATCTCTTGTATCATTATGTCTATAGTCTCTGATCATCTCTTGTATCATGTCTATAGTCTCTGACCATCTCCTTTTCTCATGTCCACAGTTTCTGACCACCTCTTGCATATCATGTCCACAGTCTCTGACCATCTCTTGTATCATGTCTATAGTCTCTGACCATCTCTTCTATTATCTGCCATCTCTGACCATCTCCTGTATCATAAGTCTACAGTCTCTGACCATCTCTTGTATCATGTCTGCAGTGTCTGGCCATGTCTTGTATCATGTCCGCAGTCTCTGACCATCTCTTGTACCATGTTTGCAGTGTCTGACCATGTCTTGTATTTATGTTCGCAGTGTCTCTGGCCATCTCTTGTTTTTTGCAGTGTCTGGCCATGTCTTGTATTATGTCTGCATGTCTGGCCATGTCCTGTATTAAGTCTGCAGTGTCTGACCATCTCTTGTATCATGTCTGCAGTGTCTGGCCATGTCTTGTATCATGTCCGCAGTGTCTGGCCATGTCTTGTATCATGTTCCGCAGTGTCTGACCATCTCTTGTATCATGTTTGCAGTGTCTGTCCATGTCTTGTATCCATGTCCGCACTGTCCTGACCATGTCTTGTATCATGTCCGCAGTGTCTGGCCATGTCTTGTATCATGTCGCAGTGTCTGGCCATGTCTTGTATCATGTTGCAGTGTCTGACCATGTCTTGTATCATGTGTGCAGTGTCTGGCCATGTCTTGTATCATGTTCGCAGTGTCTGGCCATGTCTTGTATCATGTCCGCAGTGTCTGGCCATGTCTTGTATCATGTTTGCAGTGTCTGGCCATGTCTTGTATCATGTTCAGTGTCTGGCCATGTCTTGTATCATGTCCGCAGTGTCTGGCCATGTCTTGTATCATGTCTGCAGTGTCTGGCCATGTCTTGTATCATGTTTGCAGTGTCTGGCCATGTCTTGTATCATGTCCGCAGTGTCTGGGTATGGACATGTCTTGTATCGGTTCACGGTGTCTGGCCATGTCTTGTATCATGCCTGCAGTGTCTGACCATCTCTTGTATCATGTCTGCAGTGTCTGGCCATGTCTTGTATCATGTTTGCGGTGTCTGGCCATGTCTTGTATCATGTCCGCAGTGTCTGGCCATGTCTTGTATCATGTTCACGGTGTCTGGCCATGTCTTGTATCATGTCCGCAGTGTCTGGCCATGTCTTGTACCATGTTTGCAGTGTCTGGCCATGTCTTGTATCATGTTCCGCAGGTGTCTGGCCATGTCTTGTATCATGTTCCGCAGTGTCTGGCCATGTCTTGTATCATGTCCGCAGTGTCAGGTCATGTCTTGTACCATGTCCGCACTGCCTTGTACCATGTCTTGTATCATGTCCGCAGTGTCTGGCCATGTCTTTTATCATGTTCACGGTGTCTGGCCATGTCTTGTATCATGCCTGCAGTGTCTGACCATCTCTTGTATCATGTGTGCAGTGTCTGGCCATGTCTTGTATCATGTCCGCAGTGTCTGGCCATGTCTTGTATCATGTTCACGGTGTCTGGCCATGTCTTGTATCATGTCTGCAGTGTCTGGCCATGTCTTGTACCATGTTTGCAGTGTCTGGCCATGTCTTTTATCATGTTCCGCAGTGTCTGGCCATGTCTTGTATCATGTTTGCAGTGTCTGGCCATGTCTTGTATCATGTCCGCAGTGTCTGGTCATCTTTGTATCATGTCCGCAGTGTCTGGCCATGTCTTGTATCATGTACAGGCTCTGCATGTCTTGTATCGTGTCTGGCCATATGTCTTGTATCATGTTTGCAGTGTCTGGCCATGTCTTGTATCATGTTCGCAGTGTCTGGCCATGTCTTGTATCATGTCCGCAGTGTCTGGCCATGTCTTGTATCATGTTCGCAGTGTCTGGCCATGTCTTGTATCATGTTCACAGTGTCTGGCCATGTCTTGTATCATGTCCGCAGTGTCTGGCCATGTCTTGTATCATGTCCACAGGTATCATGTATCGTGTCGCAGTGTCTGGCCATGTCTTGTATCATGTTCGCAGTGTCTGGCCATGTCTTGTATCATGTTCGCAGTGTCTGGCCATGTCTTGGCCATGTCTTGTATCATGTTCGCAGTGTCTGGCCATGTCTTGTATCATGTTCGCAGTGTCTGGCCATGTCTTGTATCATGTCCGCAGTGTCTGGCCATGTCTTGTATCATGTTCCACAGTGTCTGGCCATCTCTTGTATCATGTTCGCAGTGTCTGGCCATGTCTTGTATCATGTTCGCAGTGTCTGGCCATGCCTTGTATCATGTTCGCAGTGTCTGGCCATGTCTTGTATCATGTTCGCAGTGTCTGGCCATGTCTTGTATCATGTCCGCAGTGTCTGGCCATGTCTTGTACCATGTCCGCAGTGTCTGGCCATGTCTTGTATCATGTTTGCAGTGTCTGGCCATGTCTTGTATCATGTTCGCAGTGTCTGGCCATGTCTTGTATCATGTTCCACAGTGTCTGGCCATGTCTTGTATCATGTTCGCAGTGTCTGGCCATCTCTTGTATCATGTCCGCAGTGTCTGGCCATGTCTTGTATCATGTCCGCAGTGCTCTGGCCATGTCTTGTATCGTGTCCACAGGCTCTGGCCATGTCTTGTATCATGTTCGCAGTGTCTGGCCATGTCTTGTATCATGTTCGCAGTGTCTGGCCATGTCTTGTATCATGTTCGCAGTGTCTGGCCATCTCTTGTATCATGTTCGCAGTGTCTGGCCATGTCTTGTATCATGTCCACAGGCTCTGGCCATGTCTTGTATCATGTCCGCAGTGTCTGGCCATGTCTTGTATCATGTTCGCAGTGTCTGGCCATGTCTTGTATCATGTTCGCAGTGTCTGGCCATGTCTTGTATCATGTTCGCAGTGTCTGGCCATGTCTTGTATCATGTTCGCAGTGTCTGGCCATGTCTTGTATCATGTTCGCAGTGTCT